AAAATTGTACAGATATACATGGGGATTTTAGTTACTTTAGGAACGAAAAGTCTTGATTTAGTACACAATCTGTTAATTTGTTTGAAGAATTGTAAAATATGCTGCTAAAAGTGCAAGCTACATGTTTAATAACGCTTCATTATGGTCTTTTGTGGTTAACAGCATGGAAAGCTTCAGTGTCATACCTGACTAGTGTGCTGACTGAGTTCCACGGCGATGTCTCCACCGGAGTTGCCGATCCCGATGACGATTACTCGCTTGTTCTCGTAGCCCCTGAAGTCCTTGTAGTCAATACTGGTAGAAGAAACGTGACGCAGCATTAGAGATCGGCTAGTGGTTTAGTGTAGCTCCCTTTAGAATCGCAAGGGGAAGTATATCTTACATAATCTGCCTTTTCAATATAGATTACCTTGATTATGAAATAAGGTTCATAGTTTGCCAATGTGAAAGAAGTAAATGTCAGCTGCAGCCTAGGGTACCTGTGCATAGTCTTCCCCTGGAAGTCGTCAATCCCTGGGAAGCTGTCCCTGGGGTAATGTGGGTACACATGGTGGCCTGTACACACCATCACTGCATCGTACACTTCAGTCTTGCTCTCATTCTTCTCCTGAAAAGCTACATCAACCATTCATCAAGGGCGAGGCATATGTTTGGATAAACTTTATTCAATTCAAAATGACTTGAATACTAATAATGTCGATGTCCTGCCTGTACAATACTGAGGATTTAACAAACGTCAAAGATACACGTAGTTTGACAATCCATGAGCGGTTGAAAGTGTAATTTGCGATCAAAAAAAAAACAACAGATATTTTCTTTGTTGTGATTGTGATGGTATTATCAAACATCATTTTTATTTAGCGGCTGACAGCGGGATTTACATCTTTACAATGGTCATGCGTCCAAAACGTACCTCATCAGTATAGGTGATGTCCCACTGTCCGGTTTCTGCAAAGTCCTCCCTAGGTTTTACATTATCAACTCTCTGCCGAAATCTAGAGATGACATAGATGTTGAGATTTAATACACCTGCGTGAAGACTCACGTCACACTTTTACGAACATTAACCTCTCGAATACTAGCCGAAAGTTCCACAACCATGGTTAGGAGTAGGTTAGTTAAGGGTTAATAACCCGCCTTGAGGTGTATACGATGTCATATTCATGGTCGGTTCCTATAACCACCGAATGAACGACCGAGTCCGCGGAGTATACACCGAAGGAAAGCGGGTCATTAACGTTATTATCATATAGACATTGTCACATATGCATGTACATCAAGCTGACACATAAGGGAAACAACTCCTGTGTCACATGTAAATCTTTTAATCTTGCATTGAAGTGAATTCTCATCAATTATTTAAAGCTGAAAGTCCTTGCAGGTACGAACTGGATTTACCGCTGAAGTTTCCTCAACTGTTTCTCCACCACTATTGTCCACATCCATCTCTGCGGTTACATTGCTTCTACTTCATGTGACGACAACTCGGCGATTTCGAGGCGAAATTGCAGTCCTTCATCCATTTTATGCTAGCAGTAAATTAGCAACGTGACCAAAGACGGTCGAGCGACCCAAATGGCGGCTGTTTTGAATTCGAGGGCTGTACCAAGTGTAGAATAGCAGGGTCAAGTCAAGGACATTATACACAGATAATGTCTGTGCATAATGTCCTTGGTCAAGTCAAGAGTAATCTTTATGAATAATGCTTTTTTCCTGAATCTACCGCTGATTTTAATTGTATATAGTTTTATCATAACTGACTTCATTTACTACTCTACATAAACAAGTCTGAGTATATCAGAAAGGTCTTTACAATTAGAAGTAGGTTATGAGAAAACACCACCCTGTCAAGTAATGGTAACGTCTACTTCCGTAATGGAGTCCGGACCTACTTCCGTTATAGCCTCGGACCCGCAGGTCCGTATATCGGATATTAACAACCTGGTTTATGGGGGAAACGGAGCCCTCTGATTGGCCGACGCCATCTGGCTGTATGATTATAAATTTTAAACGTATATAAATGTGCAATAAGAACGAAGTTGTGATCGATTGGCAGACCTCAATATCCTCAGCTTTCCGCCTGAGTGTATTTGGCTAGAATTATGGGATATCTCACCTGATGTGTTTGCTGAGTCCGAAGTTGTCTGCGTACAGTCTGAAGTACTTGATGACCCAGGAGTGGTGCATGAAGTTTGGGTACTCCTTGGGGATGGGGAAGTCACTGAAGCCTATCATCTCCTTACTGTTTATTGTGACCGTGGAGCGAAAAACACTGCCGAATCCGGGCAGGGCTTCTTCCTTGAAGTTCCAGAGTCCGCCGATGTCGGTTCCCTTCTCGAAGCAGACGGGCTGCAGCCCCTCGTCCAGGCAGCACTTGATGGCCGTCAGCCCGCTCGCACCCGCGCCGATCACCGCCACTTTCTTCGCCATTTCTAACACTTTTGCTTAACAATAGGCGTGGAATGTTGCCTCCAGCAAGGAGCTTACCAGCTGATTAGATTACTGCCGGACGCTTTGAGTGACACCCACCACTCTTCTTTAGCAGAAATAATCAACGCTTAAATCTATGAGCAACTGGAAAAACCGGTGAAACATGACAATATGACTCGTAAGTGTCATTGGTATGTAAATCAAGCCAAGTGTATGATAAAGAGTAGAACTGTCACTATCCCTTTTATTTGATGTTCCCATGTACTTTAACAGTTCTACGCGGGTTCTAATATATAATGTATGGTGTGACATTGTTTTTATTAGGAATCACTGGCTGGTAAAATTGCATACACATAAATATGTAATAAAGGGGAAGGCTGCGTCAAAGTATAGTAGGGACATCATCCCTTGATAGCTTTAAACAACATTTACAGCTAGAGGTGCCGGTGCGTGCTGGTATGTTATGCCGAGGGGTGATTAAATCGGCTATACGTAAAGTACTGATCGCGTACGGTGATTGTGTTTCTTTCCAGCTTGCTTATGGTTCTTATCGAGCAAATTGCCACATTATTATGAAATCATAACTTCTCGTTATTCCATTGTATTTGCTAGAGTCTTTTGAGAGTCAAAACATATCAGATATTGCAAATATTACCGTCATATCAAGACTTCTGCTTTTAGCAATATTGAAAGTGATTCTACCATAAAAGCACAGAGAAATATTTCCAACGCCAACATATGTCATTGTTTTAAAGCTTGAATGAAAAATGTGGCCATATCAGGTGCACTTTTGTCAAACAGCAATGCTAACACTTAGTGATAGTATAGTATTGATTTGTTTGTTTGTTTGTTTGTTTGTTTGTTTAAATATTGGTGTTTTACTGGCCGGTTTTATATCCATCTAAAACAGTTTGAAAAGAATGGCCACGACTAGAACCAACAGGATGAGAAGCTTAAGGATTCCTGGCATTCCGCGCCTCC